ATCTCACGCAGGTTAAGAGCGTGCAACGACCAAATGCAGTGTGTCCTTTAGGCTATACGTAGATTAGGGAGGACATATAAACCGAAAGTTCTTGCACATTCTTAATACGCTTATACTTTATCTCTCAATTCGTACCGTACGTTACGAAGAGGTAAAAGGCCTCACCACACAACGACAAAAACGCTACGCACGTGGTCATCAAGCAAGAAAGCCTAAAGACAACAGCATCGACACGCCCCGCCGCGGTGGTCTAGTGGCTAAGGTACTCGGCTGCTGACCCGCAGGGCACGGGTTCAAATCGCGGCTGCGGCGGCTGCATTTCCGATGGAGGCGGAAATGCTGTAGGCCCGTGTGCTCAGATTTGGGTGCACGTTAAAGAACCCCAAGTGGTCTAAATTTCCGGAGCCCTCCACTACGGCGTCTCATAATCATATAGTGGTTTTGGGACGTTAAACCCCACATATCAATCAAATCAATCAACAGCATCGGCACGTCGTCAAAACCAAACAGCTGTTTTCCTTGAGCGACATGCGGCGAAACTGTCTTTCGCTATCAGGGCCGGTCATAAAATAGACAACGTTGCACCGACCCATAACAGCAAACAAAACACTTCTCTGGTGGCAGACTTCGTACCTCGTGTGATAAGAGTGGTCGAGTGGCCTATGGGAATGTCGGAAATGTCGGATAAGGCGCTGGAGCGAAAACTGTCGTCTGGGGTGGCATACCGAGATAAGCGGGGACACTCAGATTATATACACGTTCAAGGAGGCGGCGAAGTCACGAAGAGTGTGGGTTCGCCTCGCATGGGAGCGTTCTACAGAAGCTTCTTAGAAGAAGAAGCTCAACATACCAGCATATACCTTGTTGTGGCTTATGCTTTTTCACAAAATACACCCGAGCTTATTTTTTTTTTGGTTTGACGCACACGCGAACCAGAGCCGAATCCAAGCTATTTCGATCTCCAGTACGAAGTCATTGCGCTGCTTTTTGTCAAGGGTGTGCGGACTCTATATTGTTGATGACCTATAACCATAGAAGCCCTACTAATTACAATTAGAATTTTACGTCCCGCAAAACCACGATATGATTACGAGGAACGGCGTAGTGGAAGACTTCGAAAGTTCCTTGCACCCGGAAACGGGTTCCTTCAACACGCGGCTGAATCTGACTACATGGGCCTCTAGCTATTCCGCCTGCATTGAACATTCAGGCCGCCAACTGTATGAATTTGATACCGTGACCTTCGAATCAGCAGTCAAAGCATTAGACCACCATGGCGCGTTAGCCAAAGAAGTTGCTTGCATATGTAAGAATGGTTTCATAATGTACAAGAGGTATCTACCAGAATTATTCGCGATAACCGTCAAGTGATAAACCGGAAGTCCAGGGTGGTTTTCATCTGAGTCATCATATCAATTGTGACGCGACGAGAATAACGTCCTTAAACCACTGTCAACCTGGTTGCGGTCCGGCGGTTCTTAGCTATGTATATCCCGGTTTTCCTGTGGGCCCTGGTCTTCCAATTAAGCGGACAGATAGATGACACGTGCTTGTCTGGTTGCAGCAGTTAAGAACAGCCACGGCACAACTGGATGATGTCCACCTGCTTCTTTATACCTATCTCCTTCGACTAGACAGTCGCGGATCCATTGTATAGTATGAACGTTGACGGCGCTGGTCTTTTTCTTTAGCCTTGAAGCAAGCACCGAGTGCCGTAGACTGTCATGCGAAGGCCGCACGTTCATAAGAGAAACAAGCGCAAGTGTTTTGTGAGAACAGGAAGCGGCCATCTGCGCCTTTTGTTTGTGTTGTATCCTTCAACGTTGTCAGGGTCGGTAAACGTCTTGTCGATAGAGGCGCTGGGTTTCCTGGACTTCCCATTTGGTTGAGCGTGGATCATCTTACGTAACAGCGCGAGACCAGGCAAGGTCGAACGATACACATTAAAACGCCTTGAAATCCCTCGTGCCTCTATAGCAGCGACACACCCTGATACGCCCAGTCGGTAATTAATTTTTTTTTTCATTAACGTGCGCGAGGTTCTTATCCGCTGGGAGCAAAGTTTCATCCCCAGACCCCCCCCCCCCTCTTTTTTTTTTACCATTGCTCGAGTCCAAAGGACCTGCTCTGCAGCAATATATGAAAAAAAAAAAGAAATTTAAGTGAATGAATGATGCGCTTTTCACAATGACTGCTTTGACTTTCTTTCCCGAAGTTAATTCACGTGAGCAGGTGATTACCCCATGAACATGCCTCACAATGTACAGGGTCACAAACGGTGATCACCAGGTGAATGGGGACGCCATATTGCAATTTGACCATCCGTGCGTTGTTGCCCTGGTTTTCTCTTTTCTTAGTTGCGAGTTTTCGTATTAATAGCGACGTACCGTTTACCCAGTGACGTACGTGTGAAGTTTTTGCTCAGGCCATGCGACCCCGAGCTGCTGAGGTGCCAACGAAAGACGCCCGTGTAGGGCCATTGTTCCTGAAGCTAACGTTTGTACACTGGAAACTATGACCAACGTACAATGTTACGAGCTAACTAATTGATTGATATGTGGGGTTTAACGTCCCAAAACCACTATACGATTATGAGTTACGAGCTAACTAAAAGTCATTGTAACCAACTCACTCCTCAATTCTCATATGGTAGGCTTTATGTTGAACTGTAATTGCCGTTTTATACAATTTCGCGGGTTTTTTTTATTTTCTTTCTTACGCAGAACCGCCTGGCGCCAGCGGCGTAGGAAGACGTACGTGGAACGGTAAAAGTCGAGGATAAATCTGCGCGACGCAAAAGTGGTATTCCCAACTGGGCACAGTATCGATATGCGTGTGCCAAGAGTTAATAACAGACTACGTGGGAGTAGTGCGCATGATAGATTCGAATACTCTGTTATGCCTCGTTTCGGAACGTTTCGTCAAAATGATGCGCACGCTCAGAAAATTACAGCCGTCAGACAGTTCTTCAGAAACACCGAGCGCAAAAGCTGGTGTACAGGAGGATATGCAACGCCGTAAGCAGGAAAAAAAATACTACTTACAGAGATTACAAGCAACCATTTTTCTCCACGCAGCGTGCAGCTACGCAATTTTTATGAAATAAAATAAGAAAACAACCTAGTTAACTTTACCGGCACAGGGAATCAAACGCCTAAATCCAAAAAATTTGTTGAATTTCCTGTCGAACAGAATGTTATGCGTTGACTATAGTAATGATTGTAAACCTTCGTTACAGGTATGATAATATTGTATGATCCATGTTTTCAAAAAGTACCGTGCACAACAAATCCAAGAAGGGTGAACGTAATACACAGAAGACAACTTGTACAAATGCAATAGAAGGAACAAGTTTAATACAGGCTCTTTGAACGATGCCTTACGCTATAAGATGGAAGATTAAGAAAAATTAAGCTTTAAAATACTATACGCTGATACAGTAAATAAGATTATTACGAAGAGTGATTATTAACAAGTTTCTCAAACTTTGTCACCTTGTAATGGCTTGTGAAAGGCTCACAGTATTTGACAAACAAACAAACAGAGAAATAAATAAATAAATTAGCCTGTCTTACGGTCCCCGCTCGGAAATTATTACGGGTCCGTGAACTAATCATGCTGTTTTTATGACGGCCTCTTAGTATTAACAATTGTTTCAGTGTTGCAAGAAGAGTATGAAGTATGCCACGTTTTTTTCGCTGACGTACACCTTATTGTGAACAAACAAGGTCGTCCAACGTGAATGCACAATTGGAACATGGACACACAGTTGGGAGCAATGTTCAGCGACCAAAAACGTGAAGGAAATAATTCTTAAAAAATATATTCTGGCACAGCCGTCGAGCGTGAAATTGACAATGCACATTCGAAGCCCGTTCATGTCAACTTGAATTAACACATTGAGGAAGAAATGTGAAAAATTAGAGCTAGCTCTTGCCAGTTCTGCTTGCGACTGGAACGCAGGTTTATTTTTAGTTGCAGTTAACCCACATCGCCACAAGGCATTTCATGTGGGGGATACAAATAACTTGATGTTTGCGACACAAATTTCTCTAAAAACGTAAAAACAAGCAAATTACGCGGATTTACGCAGATTACGCAAACATTACCACGAACCAGGGGCTTAGAGTCACAGTGTTGGGCCCATGTATATCGCCAAAACAGAAACCTGAATATTAGGTCATAATTCTTCCAATCATGCACAACTGACAACTGTGAATGTACTAAAGCAAGCTCGGATGCGTTGTAGCTTTTGACACAGTACGAGCGCTACGCAAACGAAGTGGATGGAAGCGGCCTTGAAAAAGTGCGCGCTAAAGCGCGTGAACTTTCCTCGAGTCAAGCAAGGAGCCTGGTTCCTGCGCATGCGCACGGGGAAAAATTAGCGAAGCGTCAGCTAACTTGTAAACACGTTCGCGGCCGCGGTCAGCTGACGTCTGAACAGGCTACAGCAAAGCGAAACCGAACGCGATGAACGCCTTGTAATAAGCACCTATTAGCGAACAATAATGTGGTTTTACGCCCGAAAGCCAGGATCTGATATTGAGAGACGTCGTAGTGAAGGGTTGCGGGGCTTGAAACCATGACCTCCGGATTAGATGTCGAGAACCATAATCACTCGATCATAGCGGTGGTTGACTGCGGTCAACTGATGGCGCGACAAGCTGTCAGACAAGCGAAGCTACACAAACAAGTATAAAATGTTAGTGCTTGGTATTAGGCAGCGATCAGGAAAACAAAATAGGTGTGCACATTGCGAATCGCTAGTTTCGTTGGATGGACAAGTTATACTTGAGGTCCTAGCACCGGACTTCTCCTAGCACCTGTCATGGACTGTTCATGGACACCGGATTGTCATACCACAGGAACTGTGAGACTGGTCAGAGCAGGATACCTATCATCGCACTGGTAATAGCACGGCTGGCGGTAAGGCATGCGCAAGGTATTTCGGGTATTCCAAGAGGAAAAAGCGGGCGGATCGCAGTAACAATCATGTTTACCTTGTGAGTCTCCTTGTATTCCTTGAGCTGATCGGATGCCTTGTCGCGTTCCATTGCGTCGGTAGCTCGGTTCCAAAAAACACCGGGAAACGGAAGAAGACGAAGATTGGAACGCGGTCGAAAGAAGATACGAAAATTCGGGGTTGTACGAGTTGGACGTGCAGAAACACAACGCACGCTTTCAGCAGGGAGGGGATGTAAAGACCTTGCTCCAACAACCGACGCTACGTACACGCCTCTCTCCAGCTGCTGTCCCCCGCACGACGTTTTTATACCTCGACGCCGGTTCAGAGAGGAGGTTTGAGAAAGAGAGGCAAGATGGCCGCTGCTGCATGTGCCGCGTGCTTGGCATGGAGGCAGTGGGGACAACGCAGAACCAGCCCCCGTGCGGAGAGCGTTGAAAGTGAAGAGGAGGACGACGCCATCTCCGGTCTCGCGCTATCACGTAGCCACCGGTGCTGCCGTCTGCTCGCTGCAGTGGCGCGGTTGTTTTCTCTATCGTGCAGCGTGCAAGCCAGTTCGCTCCTTGTTAGCAATATTATGATAACGCTTCGTACTGAAAAAATCGTGGGGGTGGGGCAGGGAGATGATCCCTTACTGTGTCCCTATATAGCGCAGATCAATGGATCAATGAACGGTTCCCAATCAGAATACTCATTATCGCTGACACACTTGCTCTGGGGTCCCCCAGGTGAAAGGCTGTGCAACAAGCGTGACTGAACAGAGAACAACACATGCAGTGGATTTAACCAGTGGCGTAGTTCCAGAAAAATAACGAGGGAGGGCCACACGTCGCGTTATGGCAGCCATTTCGTTTTTATAGAAATGTTTTAGTTTTATTATACGAAAATCAAAATTATAGTTACAGAATAAATTTAAAAAAAAACATGACTTACTAGCTCATTTTTGCCACCCTTTCTTTTTCTTTCTTTCCCTATATATAAATGTCCCCCATCACTTTTCTCAATGCAGAAGAGCGTACTATAGGTCATCTAGACTGGCCAACGTTCCTGTCGTTCCTCCCTTTTCTGTTATTTCCCTCTTTCAACGCAGCCATGTGATTCGAGTTGAAACGTGAAAGACCTATGCTAGCACTTTCCCTGGAGGATAACACATAACGCTACAGCTTTCATTTCTCCAATGCACATCATCCATCCTGTAAACCTGTGAGATAGGGCCTCCGGTGAATTGGCCTTTGAAACTTTCTCGTAAAGCAGTTTGTTTTATGTTAAATTTTGTTAAAACAACACAATCATAGTCGAGCAGTCGCATTTATACTTCATTGCGCATGACCGAAGTTCCAGTGAATCGTCAACATGAATAAAAGGTAGGTCATCGGGGATTCTTTGTTTTGTATTTCAAACAACGGCGTAATAAACATTTTCGGCACGTCAGAACCAACCCGAAGCATTCCGAAAAGCTCACGCTGTACAGTACTTCATGAAACAAGCAGCTTTCATTTTTGTGCTTCGCTCCTCTCCATCGGAAGGGTTTCAAATTTCCTACTAGTTGGTTTTACAGAGCGCGAGCTATCTTTATGTAAAAAAAAAATTCCAATATGGCATTTGAAAATCAAATCTTATGGGAGAGAAGCACTTAAAAGTAGTGTCCACCACCCAGCCTGATCGCAAGTGGAGGGTCAGGACCCACCTTACCCTGCCTCCCCCTCACCCACAATTTAGGCCACTGAATTTAACGCGGGTGTACTCAATGTTGACAAAACACATACAGCGTAAAACGACATTGCGTTAGGCGAGTTCACGTAAGTTCATATATGCTTCAAGGTGCGGAAAAGCACGAACACCAAAAAGGACACGAGAACGATATTGTCAGTGGCGCTCTGTTCCGTGTCATGATTGTAAAACAAATATAAAGCAAAGAAAATATTTGATCTATATGTATTACTATATACATAACAGCGTTGTTCTGGTGTGGCACACGGTATGCGAGAAGTTACAGATTAATTTCAGCAAAAAAAACATTTATGGCTTCATTAGGTTATTATGCACACTTGATTTGAACATGCTTTGTGGGACATTGAAAATTGCTCTGTCTTTAAACGTTGTACAAGTGTTTGCATGCGATACTTTATCTAAACTCTACCGTAGGTCTGATTGGACATATTCATCGCTCATAGCAGTTCAATTTGAAGCGTACTTGTGCACGGGCGGTGGGTGAGTGGAAGGGGGGGTGGCAGTGAAGGGACAAGATGGCACTGTATTACTTTCTCATCTCACCCTAGTCTGTTTCATACCTGCACTTAGTCCTACTTGCGACGCAATATTTCAATGTGACCAGGCACCCCGAATGCTGCGTTCCAAGAACGCTTTACTTGCCATCTTTTGCCCAGGAGGAGGAGGATGAATAAACTTTATTATAAGAAACCAGCAGGTTTAGGTGGCCGGGCCTTAGCCTCCCATGAGGGTTTTGCCCAGGAAAGCCAATTTTAAAAGACACTCCGCTGTGTGGGCCACGTCAGCGTCTCAATTAGATCGATAGCCAAGCTTGTCTAATTTCGGACTCTACAAGCAAGCCGGTGAAGCGGAGCAGGGAAAGGCAACGATCTTTGCCCCTTCTCCCCTACTCCCCCCCATCATATCGAAGAACCCTGCACACGCTTATGGTCTTAAGCATCTGCAAAAACACTGTTATCTTACAATGTTTACCTAGAAACACTAAGTCTTATAATCAGCAAGTGCGTGATGTTTTTCCCCTGTTACAGACTTGATGAGTACAACCACAGTCTGTCCTGCGTAGAACTAGTTTGAGTGAGTATGCTCAAATCAAAACCATTCTTCCATTATTTCTCACGTAGGGTTGGTAGGTAAGTAAAAAAAAATTGAAGGTTGCTTGAGCTTTGCCTTCAACAGTATCTGGAGTGTGCCGGCGTTAAGGCTATAGCATCACAAACTTAGCGACACCCTTCACAAACTCAGCGGCAACCATTCGTCCCTCAAACTTAGTGACGCCATGTACCAAGGCCGCTACGAGCAATTAAATCATACCCTCCTTTTCACCCTTGTCTTGCCTTCTCTGGAACGTCGCTTTCGTTTAAATTGAGAGCTTCCTGCCAGCGCAAAATCTCGGAGGCCATGCCTCTTGCCGCAGGTTGCGACCGGAATCCGCGTGAGACCGCTCGCCTCCGTACCGCTCACTCACGTGACATTACCGTACCACTCTGTCACGCGATATCACAGCTGCTCCGAGGCAACTTTGAGTGCATTGCTGCGTTCGCAAGGGGTGGCCGCCAAAGGCGTTCACCTTCGTACCGGAGGTGCCCCGCCACGGCGGTCTAGTGGTTAAGGTACTCGGCTGCTGACCCGCAGGTCGTGGGATAAAATCCCGGCTGTGACGGCTGCATTCCTGATGGAGGCGGAAACGTTGTAGGCCCGTGTACTCCGATTTGGGTGCACGTTAAAGAACCCCAGGTGGTCGAAATTTCCGGAGCCCTCTACTACGGCGTCTCTCATAATCATATGGTGGTTTTGGGACGTTAAACCGCACTAATCAATCAATCAATCAAATTCGTACCGAAGGGGGAGGGTAAAATCCGAGGGTACAACTGCACGTTCACGGCTCACGTTCCAAGCATTAATTTTTCTAGGGGGCATTGCCTCAACTCATTAGACACGCTGGCATCGCTGGTGATCACAGAGCTCTCATGAGCGCATTCGTCAACTTTACCCTCCCCCAGTCATGACCTCCGAAATTGTACGCCGACTTGCATGCAATCTCGGAGGCCATAGCCCAGTGCATCCGGCAGAGAACACGCCGTTTGGCAACAGAGACGAAGATGGCGGAGTGGTTGATATCTGCTCCGACTGTGCCGCCACTCTACCAGCCGATCTAACGCGCATTCCACACGCAATCAGATCAGCAGCCTGGATGACGTCACGCTTTCAGTGGATGTTGTCCAGTAAATGGGTGGTTGAAAACGTGTTTGGCTGAGCCTCAGAGATCTTCAACGATTCGCACCTGTAAAGCGTTGTAATTATTCACACAGTTTATTTGGAGAGCTTAAATCAGTCTGTAAATTTCCCCTGGGACTTTGTCTACCGGCCCAATGTGTTCGTACAAAACCAAAAACTGTTTCGGGGTCCCTTTACCGTGCCGCAAGGAAAAAAAATAGCTTGTGTGCGTAAGACTGGCGGTTTGAAACAATCCTAAATTGTCGATTGGATGTATGAATTCGAAACTGACATAATACTTCCTTTGCAAGTTTGCGATGTATCTACTAGGCGAAAGGTGTAGTGTGCACCTGCGCATCTGCATACCTTGCAATAGCGGGCAGCTTTAATTCACCCACTTGTTTCGCAATTCAACATGCTTTGACGCCTGGTACGAATTTACGATTCTCCCACGCATGATACACTCATAGCGTCTCTTTACGCAACAGTTTACGTTTAGAGCACCGGGTTGTCACGAAGAACACCTGGTTTTGGTTTGCACCCGAATCCTACATTTTCACTGTTTATTTATGTGCATATATCTCGAAGTGTCGCTCATGAACAACGCCGATTTTTCGCTCGCAAGCGACGACACCGACACCGAAATTCCTGCGGAACAAGCTCTTCAATGCGACCACGTTCATCAATAACATAGAAGCCCCGCAGAATCGTGCTGTGCGATTCTTTTTTTTTCAAATTATTCCCATTACAGTAGCGTGAAAAACATTGTGGTTAACACTGTTCTATAAACTTTATCATCATCATTCTTTCCACGATGAATTATTTTAGTCACCACTAGCTATTTTCCCCCATCGTGAGCATACATATAAAGTCATACGTATGAACTGCCAGTCTTCACATTATGCTCATTCTTTTTTGCCACGCACAACAACCGTGTGGAACACATTGCCATCAGACATTGCCACGGAACACAATCTCAGCAAATTTCCGGATATCCTTCATGCTCAGCTTATCACCTGATCATAGTATTCTAATTTCCTTTTCTTGTTTTGAGGTGACTATCTGGTGAATCTGGATGCTGTTTTATGAGGTTTGTGTTTGAAAATGAGTTTCGTACACGGCCTAATTTCTCTACATTTATTTTACGAAATTTTATTCAACTTTTGAAATGCTTAATAAAATGATGTCTGTCCCCCCTCCCCCCCCCATGAAATGCCCTCACTTTGAGGGCCTTTGGGGGTCTTTTGAAATCAATAAGTAAAAATAATAACTTTAAAATTCAAGAAAGAATTATCTGAGGAAGAGAAGGAGGGAAGAAAGAAAGAAGGGG